TTCTTCTTCTTCTTCTTCTTCTTCTTCTTCTTCTTCTTCTTCTTCTTCTTCTTCTTCTTCTTCTTCTTCTACCAACCAAATGATGCACACGTACACGACCACAAGGACATTTTTAAAAGTAATTTTTAAAAATGCAGCAGAGGGGAAACAGACACAGTAGGAGGGAGTCAGAAGCAGGGGACAGAACAGAGGGCAGAGAGCAGAGATACGAGGATCACGAGGAACCAACCAGAAACCCATGATTTGTGACATAAAACAATGCACTCTCTGTCCCTACATCGTGCATCCTGTGGTGGAGTATCAAAGAAAATATAATTTCCTGTGCAGAACATTTCAGTCCATGGTATAGCACAACTGTGGGTGGTGGGCAAGATAGGCTTGTGGGGGTATCTGGACATGCCCTCTAGAAGTGGGTGACAGGTTGTCCTTGTGCCACGGGAGAAAGCTGTGGGGATTTGCCTTTAGCAAGATGAGGTAACAAAGCTAAGGAATATTTCTTCAGCAACAAGTTGCGTGGAAAACACTGAAACAGAAGTTAGGGTAGGAGGAAAAATGAAAACAGAAAATAAACAGGGAAGAGAGAGGATCTTTTCTATGTTCTCTGTGATCATCTCTTTTTGTTCTGGAGAAACAACTGATAACGCCTGACTGTGCGAGAAATTGGCTGACCGCCAGCTTCGCGTCGTTTGTTCTGTTCTCCCCAATCCAGCCTCGGGAGGGAGCGCGCATTGGCTGGCGAGGGGGCAGCCTCCCGGCAGGTGGCTTTGGCGGGCAGATCTGAGGTAGGGCGGGGCCAAGAGGGCCCTCCTCTCGGCTGACGATCGGCGCGGGGCTATAACAGGGTCGGGGGGCCTCGGAGAGAGAGTTGCGGGCTGCCGTCTTCGGAGCGCAAACTAACTTTGCGCGGGCGAATTGGGGGCAATCGGCTTCTAGGCATCATGCAGTCTTGTGTCCAGTGGTGGGGGCGGCTGATGGGTCGGGGGGCCAATCTGCACGGACACCATGGCAGCGCCTGGGGAGGCAAGAAGCCGCCAGGCCGATGGGGACGCAGGGAGCAGCTGAGACTGGCTTGTGTGAGTAGAAGCAGTAGCACCATTGGGGCGAGAGCCGCCCCCGCCGCCGCCGCCGCCGCCTCCGCCTCCGCCAGGCACATCGAAAAACTCCTGGGCAGGCACGATGACTTTTCCGAGCGACATATCGGACCAGGGGACAAAGAGAAGGAAGAGATGCTGCAGACCGTCGGTCTGTCGGTGAGGAAGCTCCACAAGAGCTCGCTCGCTCG